ATTTTTTTAGGAATATTTTCATACACAGGCCCCTCCTTTGATTTCTGCAAAGGAAACACAAACTCAATCAGGAATCTGCTGATGTGACAGCAATTATTAGCACATTAACTTAGGTTTCTCTGTGCAAAGCTTAATCTACAAATACTGACAATTTTGTTGTGTTTTGAAAAACTACTACTACTGAACAGAGCAGCAAAAGGAAATGATACCAGTCTCGTTCATCGCATGACTTTTTAAGCAGTTAAATCAACAAAAAGGTTACATTTTATCTCTGAAGGTTGGTCACGGCAGCCACTGTACTGAGAATGGTTTTTACACAAAAGCAACACCAAAGATACTTGTCCTTGCAGCACGTCTACAAATCAACCAATGACTGCTAAAGCTGCATTTCCCCTCAGATAATCATGAACCGCAGAGCAGCTGCAGCTCAAGACCAGACTCCAGAACAGGTAACATGGTGAACAGCTTTGTGTCATACTTTCTTTTCACTGACAAACTAATTGTATAAAGCTTTGCATGGGTTATTTGAGAATAACAAACAGTTTTTTTCCCATTAGTGAAGTCTATGGCAGCCCATAGAACAGCTTGTGGGGAAAGTTATAAAATTTGGCACACAAATAGAGGACAGTCTCAACATTAACCATAGAAAATTAAGAGTCTCTAACTCAAACTCTGGAGTGCCACCAACAGGCCAAATTAGCACCAAATTAGCATTATATCTGCGGATCAAGATTTTCAGCAATTTAGAATTTTCCGAAAAATCAACTTTTTCAAACTAGACAGTTTGTCCAATTTGTCACCGAAATAGGCACAGATCATCGTCAGACCCTTCTGTCAAAAAAAAAATATATATTTTAAATATTCTTGATAGATCAAACCATTCTCATAAAGCACAGTTACAAAATGGGTGTGAGGCTATATCTCTACAATGTATTAGCGGATTCAGACCAAACTTGGTATGTGTTATAGCAAGCATGACCTGAGGGTACATGAGCAGTTTTAGCACAGTGCCACCTACTGTTCAAAAAATTACAAAAATTTATATTTTATGATCTTACTTTTTTTCGTGTTGTTGGTTTAAACAATGCTGATTCAGTTCTTTCTTCCTCTTGTGTCCGGACTGCATTAACAATAATGCAGATGTGTTAAAACAACAGTTACAGTATTATATCAAAATGTCAGTCTTAAAAAAAGATAAATATTTGTACAGATTAATTGCGTGTTCTGCTGACCTGTTTTTCTACATTTCCAGCAGATGCAGCACATCACGACTGTAGCTAAAACCAACAGAGACCCAGCGGCAGCAGAAATCAGCACTATGTCAAATAAAGGTACACCCTGATCTGTAATGAGCAAAATCAGCCATTAGAGTGATTGAATATGTTTGCATGACAAGAAACACTATGAAACAACAGCACTGTATAACTTGATAGATCAGCTTAATCACCGATAAAATTAACACCAGCATACAGTACCTGCGCTT